TGTTTTTTTTGTGTTTTGATTTTTGGTGGGTAAGGGGTTTCTGGTGGGCGAGGTGTTGATTGGGGTTAGGAATAGCAGTGTGTCTGTATGGGTTTCTTTGGTGGTGACTATTGGTTTGAATGCTTCCAGAGAGACTGCAAGGAATGAGATCTGGTACTTTATAGGGTTGGGATGGTGGTAGCAGGTTGAGCGTGCGCCTGGCAAGGAATGGGTGGTGATTCTAGGCAGTTAGAGCCGGTGAGGTGCAGGGTATGGTAAGGGGACAGGCCAGGGGTGGGTGGCCAGTGGTGCCGTGTAAGGCACCACTGTCATATCAATTTTTTGGTTCTGTTGTTGTTTTTTTTTTGTATTTTATATTTTATATTATTTTTTTAATAATTAAAAATTAATAAAATTTTAATTTTAATTAAATCAATATTATTATTAATAAATAAAAATTGAAAATAATAGATCCGAACAAAACTAGTGTCTACACTTATAAATGAAGATTCTATATAAATTTTTTTTAAACCCCGTATAATTTTAAATTATGATTAAGTAATTATAATATAAATATTGTAAGTTATATGCTCATCTATGTGATATGAATATTATTTTATAGTAAAATATTTGTTTTAGAAAGATATTGATAGAAAAATTGCTGGAAGTTGGACTGCGTCTACGTACAGACTAGGAGAAAGGGATAGAGATAGTGTAGTGAGCTTGAGAGGGGCACTGAAAGATGGACCAATCATACATGGCATTGCTGTGAAAAGGGTTAGTTGAAAATCACGGCTCTCTAACACATGGAAAGTCGAATTTCGAACCAACCATATTGAACGTGGACAGCATTTCCTTGTATTATTACTAGGCATTTTTCACTTCGTTAGCTTTTTTTCTTTTTTTTCCAAGTCAAGTTCATTTTTACGGGGAGTACATGTATGGACATAACGTTCCCAATACCCATAATTTAACCGACATGCACCCTAAAATGAGACAGTACAATAGCATACAATTCACAATTCAAACAGTATCCTGACCTTGCTTAGAACTTTCCTCAATCCCCTTCCACCAAGCCATAAACATTTATTTCACATGCATATGTAAATACACATGAAATGAATGAAATTATTCCATGCATGACACAGGTTACAATCTAATTCTTTAACTAATTAACAAGTTTTCTTATTAATATGTTCTTCATGTACAAAATCCATTATGTCTAATGCATAGACTGTATCAAAAAGCCATTAGAACATATTATTTAGGCGATTTTGGCGTACTAGATAAAAATAATTTAAGTTTAAATTTTGTTAATTCGAAAAGAAACTTTAGCCTCTAGATCCAATTGAATATTATGCAATTGTTAAGATTTGAGAAAGAAAAATTTTGCTTACATTGGTTTTGAAATTAATTAAGTTTACGTGAAAAAAAAATAGAAAGGATTGTAAATAGAAAACTTGCACAGCCAGCTTGCAGCAGTAGCATGCAAATTTTGGTTGTGGTGGTGACCGGTGACCGGTGAGCACTGAGCACCTTCAATTAGATTTTGCCACACAACCTGAATATGGAAAGGCTTTGAGAGGTTTGAAGTTTGAACCCCCAGTGGTATCTAAGTGCAACAATACTTGGTCTATATTTAGAAGCAAGAAATCAATTAATGTTGAGAGCTGGTTGATGACCAAGTAAGACCTAAAAGTTGACAAACAAAATGATCCAAAAGCTTCCATAAATCACGGTATTATCAACCTGAATTACCATTATACAGGGGTTGGTCGGCCTTATCTACACTCAACGACCATCAAGTAATTAGATTATTGAATTTGAAGCTTGTTAGAAGAAGGCAGTGAAAAAAAGCATGGCATAAAGCCATAAACATTCGTTCTATGAGGTATCAATAACTAACAGATTGATGAAGGTAAGACTATGGATAGATTTGTGGGCAAGTGAACAAGTGATTTTTTTCGCTTGCATACTTAATTACTGATTATACTGGTTTTTTAATTATACATGTTTGAAGAGTTATTGATGGTATTTTGCTCTTGTTCAAGAAGAATATTAAATCTATGTTGCTTTTGAATTGGAGTGTAGGTGAATTGAACCCCTTAGTAGATTTATGTTAGATGATCTCGTCTTGAACTCTGTCAAATATTTTATTAGTTGTTTATTATATGTTTAGCTGGGGAAATATCTGTAAGTTATTGATAGCTTATTTATCGAATGTTTATGGCTTTATGGAATGCTCTTTGTTCACTGCTTCTCTATAAGAAGCAATCTACAAGCTTCAAATTCAATAATCCAATTACTCTGGTTATGAAAGGAAACTTGATCATGATCATTTATTAAGGATGGCTTTTTGGTGATTGTTCCTAATTAGCCATGACTTAATTTTGGGAATTAAGTTGGTGTTGACATTGAGCTTTGTTCTGATTCTCTTGAATCTTGCTTTGTGAATTTGGTGAATTTATTTGGATGAGAATGCTATATTCAGGCATGATGTCTAGTACTACGAGTGGATGCATGTTTTTTATGTTATAAATTGGTTGCTGCTGCCTGGTTGAGAATAATTGCTTCTTGTTGATTCTATGCAAAATCTTGAGCTATTATGTTTTTTGTTTAGGAAAAGGGAAATATGCTCTTGTTTTAGGTGCTGCCAGTGTTCACATATCAATTGAATAATTAATTTCATTGGTTTTGTTGTTACAGATGTTTGAAGATTTCATGGAGCCATGCATTTAGCGGAAGTTAAGCAATATTATATTATTTTGAATGAAACTAATGCAGATATTTTTATTTTATAATTTGGATACTATATTATTAATTGTTAGATATACGGTGCAAAGGCGTCTAAATTTCCTATGGTATTTTATAACTAGAATGATATTACTGACCGATCATGTCAATTGTTTTTGCTCGTTAATTCTGCTTCTTATTTATGATTTAGCCCTGATGATTTTTTAGATGTAGAAATTTGGATTAATGTCTCTTCTGTGCTCATTTTCTAATTGCAAGCTATATCAATGAATTTGCTAATTGTTATTTTGGTAGTTTATTCACCCCCATAAAAATACGTTTCAAAAAATGAGTGAGGTTTCCATCCTAACATTCTGCTTTTGTTTTTTACCCAAATTTGCCCACAGCTATTCATCATTTTAAATTTATACGTCTAAAAGACTAAAACCAACTACTATTTATTTAAATTAAAAAAATAATATTTTTACAAATATTATATTAAAACTAAAATTATTGAATTAATTCATTTATTTGTTAAATTGAAATCTAATATCAAGAACAATAATTTAATGTTGAATTGAAAGAAATTATTAATGAGTTGTATTAGAATTCGAATGAGCATAAATTCGTTTATGTTTTTATAGATTTGGGGTTGTATTTTTAGCTTTGGCCCTAAGAAAGTTGATAAAACTATGAAAGAAAACTATACATACAAATTTGGGGGGTTGATTACGGTTTTATGATGTCTCCACAAAGTGGGTAAATTTATCGCTGTGATTAAGGTAGTTGAAATTCAAATAAACCATTTTGATTAGAAAAACTATAATATCATCAGTGTATTTGTATACCTTAGTATTGAACCTAAAACCTGAAATTATTGTATAAAAGATAAAGAATATAGTTTATATTTGATACGTAAGATGAATTATCTTATATTATATTTTATTCGTATTTAAGAAAAAAAAGATAAAATTATAAAAAAGATTAACCATTCTCTTGATATGGGATGATTCAATCATTTCAAAGTAAAAATAATTATTTTTAATTTATGTGATTAAACTTATATATCTTATTATAATTTTAAAAATTATATCAATAATTTAAATTATATAAACTTTGAGAAAAAATAATTTTTATTAATAAATAAATTATCTTATTATAATCATTATTCATATCAAATATAAAATAAAATAAAATAATTTAATTTAACCATAATTTATAATATTATTTTATTAATTTATTATAATTTTGTGTATTAAATACATCAATAGTTTATTACACTGAAACTCATACATAAGCTTTAAGTGCAATGTGCTTCCGCGGTAATCCTATGAAAAATACATAATAATCCAAGCTGATATATTATATCAATAATTTTTTTTCTCAAAATTTTTTATTTTAAAAACTCAACTTTTGGTCAATATTATTTATTTATTTTTACTCGAACCGTTAAAAGATGTTAAGAGCCAAGCATTCAACGTCACCACAGTCCACACCTTGGTTAAATGGTATATAATTATGCCAAAAACTTAGAGGTGAATAAAATATTATCTTTTATAATTGAGTAATCAAAAACAAAAATTCTCAAATGTTCGATAATCATAAAGAAAATTTCCTCTAAATTATATCATTAACAAATTATTTTTAATTAAATTAATAATTAATTAGCATATCCAAATTATTAAGAAAAAAAAATCTACATGTATATTTCTTCCCACGTCGAATTCCAAATTAAATATATCAATATCAATTTCAAACTTTAATTATTACTATATTTTCAAGAAATGAGTCTTTAATGTATTTAAATTTGTTTAAATTTTAATGGTTAGAGACACAAAATTGAAAATTTAAAAATTAGAAAAATAATGTGTATGAAATAGGAAAGGATTATCAATCTCGGTGTGACTATTTTTGAGAGACTTTATGCACCATGATTATATAGATAATTAAAATTGTATTTAATACTACATAATGATTGATTTTAAGATATATTTTAGGTGAAAGGATAAATTGTAAATCTTGATTTATAATTTCTATCAAATATATGATTGTTCAAGTGATTTTTTAAGAAATAAAAACTAATTTTCATTAAAAAAAAATTAATAGATGAAAATTTTAATTATTAATTTATTTGAAATCATTTTTTAAAAAATAGGTTTTAATACCTATATATACTTTGTCCACGATTCTCTTTTTGTTTTGTTCAGTTCATAAGATAATCTTTTATAGGTTTGGATAGATATCCGTTTCATTCGTGAATCGTGATCTAACCTACCTCTTCAATTATCATGGCTTCCTCTCCGCCGGTCCCCATGGAGGAGCAACCACAAACTACGGAGGAGCGACCACCACCTGAGAAGAAACAGAAACAAGAAGACGATTATTTTATGACATATTTTGACGATGAGACCGATGCGGAAGAAAGCAGCGAATCGGATGGTTGCGAAGGCGAGGAATTTCGTGAGATGACGGATGCGGAGGAAAAAACCTTTTTAGCTGCTTTCAAATAGAGTGGTGTAAGCCTATTTCTGCAAAACATAAGTTTCATATACAGGTATTCTATATTTATTCATTTTTCCTTTTTGGGTTTTTGAAGGGATTTGATGTTCCTTCTTTTCCTGGGGTTTATTACAACGACCTAATTACGCCCATGAATATGAGTAAAGGTGGGCCATAATATCTCTTCCGTTATTCCGTGGCAGGGATCGGATTTTTTTTCTAAAACTCACCTGCATCTTAGAATCTTGATTTTTTTTTCTGTTTTGCTCCTTTATCTTTTTTTTTTTTTTTTTACTCATTTCCTGGGTTCAATTTTGTAGATCATGCCGTTAGATATAGAAAAGGCAGAACCGATTCTCATTCCTAATGGTTATCCGGTACACGTGGATTGGAGGAAGAAAAGGATACTGCACTTGAGAAATCAAGGAAAAATGCGTAAGTTCAAATTTGCAATTATTTTTTTATTTTACATAATTCAATACGTTTTTATATTTGCATATATGATAGTATTTTTTTTTTAACAGAATCTTGTTGGGCCATGACAACAGTTTCTCTATTAGAATCTGTTTGGTCCCTCAAATTTAACAAGGCTCCGTCTCTTCTATCACCACAAATGTTAGTAGATTGTATTCAAGAAAATTCAGACGAACTTGAAGGTAGACGAGACTGCTATAAGTATAGTGTTGTAAAAGCACTTGAATGGTTGAAGAAAAATGAGGTTTATGGGGAAATTGATTATCCCTACGTGAAAAGTTGGGGAAAATGTCTTGCTAGCTCCATTACCGTAAGCATCAATGTGTTTTTGTTTTTATTCAAAACAAATATATGAATTGTAATATTGTATCAACGTTTTTTTTTATTGTTTTTTTCAGCCAACTGTGCGTGTGAAGATCGAGAATTACCGTACTATAGTTGGTGAGGATAGGAGCCAGATTCTCATGAAAGTTGCACGTCGACCCGTTGCTGTCCTGATTGAAGCATATCAGGAATTTATATATCTAAAAGATGTAAGTAATTTTAGATTGTTTTATATTTTTCAAATGCTTTTAAATAATTAGATTTACATTTTTTTTAACATCACTACATGATTGTCTCTAATTTTTCTTGTTGTTGTTTCTTACCATGGAAGGAAATCTATGAAGGTCCAGAAAAGGAAACTGACGAGCCACCTCCTTTGCATGCAATCATTATTGTTGGTTATGGTACAGAGGGACAGGGTGCGGATGCAAAAAATTATTGGTTGGTTATGAATTCTTGGGGATCTGATTGGGGAGTAGAGGGATTTGGACGGGTTTGCAGAGATACTACGGTAGATGAAAAGTTTTTGCTTACACGAATCGCTTATCCTATATTTGATGAGGAGAAAAACCAGAAATGAACCATATGTTTGAGACTTAATATCCTTTGTTATTAGTGTTATTGAGATTTTATATTACACATTACAGTTGCTTAGTTTGATATTACAAAAGAGTTATATGGGCTTAATATTTTATAATATCAACTTTTTGATCATTTTATTCTAGTTTTTATTGCGAAAATAACAATCATTTCAGCTGTGAATTAATTAAATTTTCGTATAAATTCAAAACTTTCTACACCATGATTATAGGTAATTGAGATTATATTTAATATTGTAAATAACACTGTATAATTGTTGATTTTTTGATAAAATTGGAAAGGAAAACAAATTGGACATAGTAAGAGCTTTTATTTCAATACTGATATAGATAATATATATATATATATATATATAATAAATTAAAATTTGGCACATTCATTATGATAAGCATGTTGTTCTTTTTTCTTTTTTTTTTTAAAGAATAATTTTAAAAAGTTATGTAGCTAGTTTTTCTATATAAAAAAAGTTTCTGTAACTTCTCAATTTTTTTTTAAAATTTGAAAAGACATATTTTTTTATTTTATATTTTTTTATATTTGATTTTTATGTAAATAAGCAAGTCTATGTCTCGCTTATCTAACGCACGTATAGTTTCAACTTGTTTCTTTTTTTTTACATATGGATATTATAATATCAGTTTCATTTTTGTCACGTTTAGATTTTTTAATTGCTATGTCAGTTATTTTATATGTCATCAAAGTTTACTTAATAATATTTAATTTCACATTAACTTATATTTTAATTATTCATGAATTTAGAAATTTAAAAATTTCTATATTCTTAAACTCAATTAATTATAGATAAATGTGCTTTATATTCTGTGTCATTTAAAAGTTTAAATTTAAATTCATATTTACTATTAATTAATTATGAATCAAATTTAATTATTTATAAATTTAATTAATTAAAAATAAATATACTTAACTTTAATACAATTTAAATTAAATATCTTTATTAAATAATATAAATATATAAAAATCAAATCATGCTAATCATTATTTACTTCACTCAATAACACAAATTACATTGCCTATAAATTATTCCCTACAGAAACGCTAAAGAATAAAAGTAAACTATAACCGGCAGCAATGGATGTGAGACTAGTTTTTTTTTTGTTAGTTTCATTACTTTTTTCCTTTCACTCACCTAATAAGTGCGTCAAAATCTAATTTCTTTCATGTCGAAAAATCAATGAATTTGTTAGAGAAAACAGAAAATACTTGCCCGACAAGAAAAAGGAAATAAAAATAAAAATGAACGACACGTGATGTGATGACAATGACGGTTCGATCGTTAAGAAAATGGTGGGACCGGGTCCATTCCTACGCGGACGGTTAAGATCTAATCTCGAAATTGTACGCACATCAGGTGCTACTTATTATCCCTCCCTCAGACTCGGTTATTTTAGGGTTAGGATTCCGTCTCATTCGTGATCTAACCAACTTCTGCAATTCTCATGGCTTCCGTTCCACCTCTCCCCATGGAGGAGCAACCACCAACTACGGAGGAGCGACCATCAAGTGAGAAGAAACAGGAACAAGAACACGATTATTTTCTGTCTCATTTTGACGAAGATACCGATGAGGAAGAAAGCAGCCAGTCCGGTACTTGCGAAGCCGAGGAATTTCGTGAGATGACGGATGCGGAGCAAAAAGCCTTTTCAGCTGCTTTCAAAGAGAGTGGTGTAAGCCTATTTCTGCAAAATTTAAGTTTCATATACATATATTCTATATTTATTAAGTTTACCTTGTAGGGATTTGATGTTCCTCCTTTTCCTGGGGTTTATTACAACGACCTAATTACGCCCATGAATATGAGTAAAGGTGGGCCGGAATATCTATTCCGTTATTCCGTGGCAGGGATCGGCCGATATAATGAAGAACATGTTGGTTTGGTTTTTTTTTTTTTTTCTTGTTTTCTTTATCTTTTTTCCGGTGATATAATTTTGACTGATATTTTTAATGTTTTCAGGGAACCAACTATGAGGTAGTCCGAGTGGAAAAGTGCATGCAACAGGCTGCTCGCGGTATTAAGTACTACATAACCTTCCATGCCAAGAATAAGATTGCTTCAGAGCATGGCAGTGATACTCCTAAAGCTGCTGATGATAGTAGCGATAAAACTGAAATCTTTGAGGCTTTGGTCTTGTTCGGTATTCCAAAGGACAAAAAGGATGAACCAATCGATGTGATCTTTTGTAGGCTAAAGGGTACCAGGCCAGGTACTAATGTTTTTCATTAATGCAATTACTTTTAAAAAAAAAAAAAAAAAAAAAATCCGTACTTGGTTATTGATGAATTATCACTTTTATATTCTACTTGAATATCCGATTGTTAGCATACATTACACTAGTTTAAGGGATATGTTTGGTGATCCTTATCTACAAGGAATACTCCGTAAATTTAAACCCAGTTGTGCACTTCATCTGTTTTGTGATGAACAGATATATCATTTGCATTTACTGGCTTAATTATAGATATGTCGTGAATAGCAACTACTTACTATGATGAAGGATTTGTGAACTTTTTAACGAATGACTTAATTGTGATTGCCATATACAGTGTGTTGTGTTTTCATGTTGGGGAGTTTGTTGGTCTGCAGTTGAGAATTGCTTGTGTGTTGTTTGATATTTTGCATGACTGTCATGTTTTGTTTATTGGGTTACCTTTACTTAAGGTTTTGGATATCTAGTTATCTAGGGTAAGTGCTGGCTTTTGATGAGCTTAATGAATGGCTACCCATTTTTAGCTAGAGGTTTTACCGCTGTAGAGTAGTAGTAATATAAAGGCAAGGTTTAGGACTTCTTTATGATCTTGGTGGAACGACAGAGACTAACCCTATATTTAGTTTTAGATAAGGAAGTAAAATGCAAGTTCAGGTGAGTGTGTTCTATTGGTCAGAAAATTTTTTATTTTAGGGTGCTGCCCATGTTCACATATATATACAATCACAATTAATTTAATTTATTGGTTGTGTTGATGTAGATCTTTGAAAATTTTGTGGAGGCGTTCAGCTGGTGGGTGAGAAGAGCACCAGAAGTTGAGCACGTCATCTTGTTAATGCTTCTTATTTTATAATTTGAACCTCTATCTAGAATGTTTATGTGTTAAGCGATCTAAACTCATCCGACGCTTTCGCTTACCGACTACAGTACTGTTGATTATATAACTTTGTGCTGCTTCTATGTTTAATGATTTAGCTATGAAAACCACATTATCCTAATTTCTTATACTCAGCTTTAGGTGAGTTAGGGAACTTTTATTCTGCTGTCACAGTGTTCATGGCCCATTTTCGCCCCAAAAGCTCTCGACGAGCTGTATACGAAATTAACATCTATATATCTAGTAGAATGAAATTTACGTCTGTATTATATCTAGTTATCTGTACAATGGATCATATAAGTGAGAGAACCGTTTTGCTACTGATTCAGCGCCAGCACCATTGGTTTATACAAGACTTAAAGCTTTTTTCTGGTTTAAGCATCTTCTGCATGAATTGCTGTTCTGTTTCCTGGACCATAAAATGTCCATTGGCTGGGCCTGGGATGATCAAGTTGAACCTCCTTTGAGCCTAGGCCTAGAAGATTTAGCGCAAATCAGCCTATAAAATGTATAAATCAGACAAAAAAAAAAATCATTTAGTCACCAATTCAGTGAGAATATAAAAGTAAACAAATAAAATCAAGCGTAACTAAGTTGTTTGAAGTTTGAAATCGGTTCTCATTGTCATGGATTTGATTCTTCACCAACATTTAAAGATTTTGCATGTATTGTCTGATTTAGTTTCTGTTGGTTAATTAAGTTTGATCGATAATGCAAAATCTTAGGGGAGGAGAATGCCACGTGTGCATTCAAGAAATCAGGACACACCATATGTACAAAACCCAATCCAAATTTCAAGCCAAAATTACAAATGCTGGCAATTACTGTTATTCATGCACACTGGATCCATTTGCCAAATATTTTATCTGGAATTTGCCCCGTTAAAACCACTCATGTGAAATGTGGTTGTCTGTTGATCCTTACGGTTGGGCATTTGCGCATTGTCAAGTCCACACATTAATATAAAAATTTTAATTAACAATGTAAATTGGTTCGGTTTGATTTCTGATTTGGTTTCTTATTTAATAATGTAAATTAAAACATGAAAAAAAATCACTCTCTAAACTTTAATTAAAGAATGAATCTCACCCATTTAACCTCATAAATTATGGGTTGAGACAGCAAAAAATCAAGTATGAATAAATAAAAATGACTATGAAATTGAACCAATACACAAAATGAGGCAGAAAAGAAAAAAAGAACATATATATACACACAACAAAAAAATATACAACATGAAAAATCTTAGAAAAAAAGAAAAAAATATATATATATATATATATACACAACAAAAAAAATATACAAAATGAAAAATCTTAAGGAATGAGCTGTCACGTGTTGATTTTTGAGAAAAAATTGATAGAGTTAGAATTTTAGCATATAATTAACTTTTCAAATGAAATCTTAAAATGAAGAGAATTATATATTTTTAAAATATAAACTTATATAGAAAAAAAACTTGTACAAATAAAATAATTAAATATTTACATAATATAAATATAACTATCATTAATTTTGCAGTTTTCAAAAATAAATCAATCCAAATCAAGTTAATCAATTTTTATTGCAGTCCAAGAATTAAAAAAAAATTATAAGTGTTAAAATTTAAATATAAATTATTATTTTTTAAAAATAATTATATAAAATAAGTAAAATAAACTTCTGGTTCATCAATATTTGATTTTAACCAAATAACGTTCAATGTTACATTTAAATGATAGGTGATAAGTTAAAATAAAATGAAGTAGCTAATTCTTATCATATAAACTAATTAAAAAAAGTGAAACATCATAATTATTTTCCTTTGATAGAAAAGGGTGAAGATTAAGCATATAGTAGTTTTTAGATTAACAAAAATGACCAAAAAAAGTTTGGCATCAATTTGGTCATGGAATGTGATAGATCATATAATCCTACATATATATTATTTTTAATTTTATGAATCAACATTTTTATGTGGTGGTGGTTATAAAAAATGCGAGGAAATTGAAAAAGAAAAAACAAACTTGACCAACAAGAAGTCTAAACAAAATCTGTTGTGGACATACATTTGTGATTGTTACCCATTGCCATGGCCTTTTGCTTTGTACTTTGATTATTATTCAAATTTGAAATTGTAATTTCTGTATATTATCTTATGTTGCATCATGATCAACATACACTTGATTATTATTGATAAAGGATACTGCACTTGAGAAATCAAGGAAAAATGCGTAAGTTCAAATTTGCAATTATTTTTTTTATTTTACATAATTCAATACATTTTTATATTTGCATATATGATAGTATTTTTTTTTTTAACAGAATCTTGTTGGGCCATGACAACAGTTTCTCTATTAGAATCTGTTTGGTCCCTCAAATTTAACAAGGCTCCGTCTCTTCTATCACCACAAATGTTAGTAGATTGTATTCAAGAAAATTCAGACGAACTTGAAGGTAGACGAGACTGCTATCAGCATAGTGTTGTAAAAGCACTTGAATGGTTGAAGAAAAATGAGGTTTATGGGGAAATTGATTATCTCTACGTGAAAAGTTAGGGAAAATGTCGTGCTAGCTCCATTACCGTAAGCATCAATGTGTTTTTGTTTTTATTCAAAACAAATATATGAATTGTAATATTGTATCAACGTTTTTTTTATTGTTTTTTTCAGCCAACTGTGCGTGTGAAGATCGAGAATTACCGTACTATAGTTGGTGAGGATAAGAGTCAGATTCTCATGAAAGTTGCACGTCGACACGTTGCTGCCGTGACTGAAGCATATCAGGAATTTATATATCTAAAATATGTAAGTAATTTTAGATTGTTTTATATTTGTCAAATGCTTTTAAATAATTAGATTTACATTTTTTTTAACATCACTACATGATTGTCTCTAATTTTTCTTTTTGTTATTTCTTACCATGGAAGGAAATCTATGAAGGTCCAGAAAAGGAAACTGACGAGCCACCTCCTTTGCATGCAATCCTTATTGTTGGTTATGGTACAGAGGGACAGGGTGCGGATGCAAAAAATTATTGGTTGGTTATTAGGGTTTACTAGTATGCTACACAAATATTATATTACTATGGTATTATACAGTTTATCTAATCTAATGGTTGAGTTTGAAAACTATCCAAATTATGATATATATATATATATATATGTCTTTTTACCAATTAATTCTTCTGGTTTGTGAATCTAAAGCTTGTTCAAAAGCAATGATCATGTACACATCATGTTGTATGGTTTATATATTAATATAAAAATACCAATCGATAAAACCATCGCTCATTCCACATTTGCAAAATAGGAAAGCTGTTACTGTTTTCGTTACATGATTGTTTCATTATCATTCAATAATTTATTTATTAATTAAAAGAAACCCTATTCAATTAAACTTACCCATTTTAAAGAATCATTTATAATTTAATACATTGTTTTTTTTTCAATTAAACAACAATCCATTAATTATGCTTTTTAATTTAAATATCACCATTAACATATTAATACATTGTTCTTTTTCAATTAAAAAACAATACATTAATTATACTTTTTAATTTAAATATCATTGTTGACATATGTAAATATATGCTTCTTCTATTTTTCTCACACACATATATATTATTTATTGAAGAATTTAGTATTGCGAAAACATGTAATGGATGCATTTCACTTATAAATTTTTTATTATACTTTTACAATTATCTAATCACAATAAATAATTACGTTTAAATTCATCACTTATAAATAAAGATTCTATATAAAGTTTTTTTTAAACCCCATATAATTTTAAATTATGATTAAGTAATTATAATATAAATATTGTAAGTTATATGCTCATCTATGTGATATGAATATTATTTTATAGTAAAATATTTTTTAAAAATATATATTAATAGAAAAATTGCTAGAAGTTGGACTGCGTGATGAAAAATTGCTAGAAGTCAGGATTTCGTAAGGGTTTGGCTCGACTCATGAGGATAGACAAAGAAGTTGTGGATTCTCATACAAAGTAAAAAACAAGAACAGGTTTGCCTACCTTGAAAGTTCTTTCATGAGTTTCTAGTGCAACATGCCAACGAAGAACGTGGGTTAGATGTATTCATCTTAGCTATATACGAAATGGTGATATTTCTAAAAGTTTTGGGTTTTATTGAAATAGCGGTGGTTGACTTCTTCGAGAGTGTGATCAATGGTTGTAACCCTTCAATGGTAATATTAGCAGAGACTATCAGATCTTTGAGTTACTGTCGTCGGAATGGAGGGTGTTTTATAGGCTGTATACAATTATTATACTTATGGATGAAAAGTCACTTCGAATGGAGAAAATGTGCTTTCTCGAAGCTTTATGTCCACAATCAAACTTCGATCAAGGAATTCTGTGAAAGTGAGTGGTCAGAACAAAAGTCTAAAAAGAAGTGGATAGCTTTCCTACAAAAATTGACTAGTGCCAAAGTAAGATGGTTGGTTCCGTGGATGAATCGTGAACTTATGTTGTATCAATGTGGAGATAATATTGTGGTCTCACTTTTGGGTTTATGAGGAACAACAAGTTATGCACCACTCCTAGTGAGAAGGCAGTTTGGGGCAGAATAGTTCATTCTTATGACGCATGGATTCATCAGTTAAATTTCTCTTACAATGAGTCAAAAGCATTTCAGAGGATGAATGAGATGATTAAAGTGTGGAAAAACTCCTGAAGAGTGAGTCTTAGATCGTTCACTGATAAAGTCATTCTAGGGTATTTACTTTGGAGAGCAAGACGAAGACAGGAAATGATATTCACTTATGAAAGCTTTCAACCGCCAATAGGAGGAAAGCTTGAAGAGACACCATCAGAATTAGAGCTTGTGATAAAAGAATTTAAGTTTGAAAAGGATAAGTTAAAGCAAAAAATCCAGAAGCTTCGAGAAGAAAAAGATTAGTGGAAAGATAGAGCTGAAAGACATGAAGCCAGAGTTTGCAAGATTGCTAGAGAATGTGATACAGCTGTTGAAAACCTAGCAGAGCTACACCAAGAACATAAAAGGTTATGTGTGAGAGAAAGGGCCAAAGAGATAACAATTGTTAAGCTGACTGAAGAGAATGCAAGATTGAAACAGGAATATGCTGAATTGAAAGAAGAAAGTACCCAAGTACAGATAAAGAATAACATGTTGAATAGCTACTTAAGCAGGTTGAGATAAAAGTTGAATGAACAAGAAGATCATATTGCTGCATTGGTTAGAGAGCATAGAGAGTTATCATACCAAGTCTGCTATGATAAAATAGATAACTTAAGAAGATAGAAGTACATTGAGCACCTGACGACCCAAATTTCTAAAGGGGTATGCAAGGCAAGAGAGATGGTAGAAGAAGCAGAGGTATTAAAACAAGAGGTGGCCCTAGTAGGAGAAAATGGGTAACTTCTATTAAACTTCATCGATGAAGCAAAGGCCTAGTATGAGCAGATCAAATGACTTTATGGTTATAACTCTAAGATGATAACTCAATGTAAATAAAAGTTCTTTGGAATAAATGAAATTTTTTAGCATCGTCTTAAGGCAAATATTCTTTGCATACCTGTATTTTCATTTATTGCATTCTCACTCATTACACTTAACAAAGTAACATGAGATAGTCGTATAAATTTAATAATTCTAAGATACGGTATTCAAGGTTCAAGGATAGCTTCATCTAGCAAAAACTTTATCTATCGATATAACACAAAAGCTAGAACCAGATAAATGGAGCAAAAAAACTCTCACAGATTTGAAAAGCTGAAAAAAACATGAGAAAATATTAAGAATGAGTTGAAAAAAATTCTAGATGCCCTCAATAAGCTAAACATGGAAAAAGAAATAGAAGAAAATACAAGCCAAGAAGGCCCTCCATCACAAGAAATGGTCGATCTTTTGTATTCTTCAAGTTTTGGTCCATAACAAGCCCAACCCACACAGGATATTCCACCACAACAGTTCACATATCCTGTATACCCTAAAATACCATCAGCCTCGAATCCATGACATTATCATAGCTATGTAAATTCTGTCTTTACTAAAATGGTAATAGAACCGATTCAAGTTCCTGATCTAAATGACTCGAAAAAGAAAGAGAAAAAAAAAAGTAAAAGTGATGGAGTCTCAAGAAGATTCAAAGATTAGTATGCTTAAACAAAAATTACGGGTCATAAAAAAGATTGAATTTTATGGTTCTGTTGATGCTGCTAGGCTGTGCGTAGTCTCAAATATAGTCATTTCACTAAAATTTAAAGTATCAAAATTTGAGAAATATGATGGTACGAAATACCTAAAAACTCATATTACCATGTACTGTCAGAAGATGACAGCCCATGTCTATAATGAAAAACTATTAATGGACGTTTTTTAAAATAGCCTTATATGCTCTACTGTCATGTGGTATGTCCAGCTGGACAGAACCCATATTCGTTCTTAGAGTGATATGACTAATAATTTCATTAATCAATATCGGTTTATTATGGATCTGGCTCCTGATCGTTTGTCTTTATAGAACCTGAAAAAAAAAAGGTAAATGAGTCTTTTAAAGAATATGCCCAGAGATAGAAGGACGTAGCTTCTCAAGTACAACCCCATCTAACTGAGAAAGAGATTACAGTGTTATTTCTTAGCACTTTAAAATCTTCTTATTATGAAAAAAAGATAAGGAATGCAACAAAAAATTTTACTAATATGATAATTTTGAAAGAAATTATTAAGAGTGTCATCAAGAATGATAAGCTAGAAGAAGGTGAAGCATCTACTAAAGAGATCCCGAAAAAAAAAGAGACTGAAGCTAAAGCTGTGAGCTTTGATTGACAACAATTTAGGGGTTATCAACCTTACCCATCACAAGGATACCCCTCATATTATCCTGATGTGAATTACACCTCTCTTTATCCATACCAACCCATCCCACAGCCATCCTACCGCCAAACATATCAACCTTCCTTCAGACCTCAAAATGCCACATACAATCCTAACACTCAACCTATCTCAAGACCTCAAACTTGTCCAGCCAGCCCAATAGGAGGTTCTCGTGAGCAATGAACCACTCGTGAAAAGCCTGTATTTGATCCAATCCCTATGACCTATACAGAGTTATATCATGAGCTTTACAACAATCATCCGATTGCTTCTAATAAATTAAAGCCACTTAAACCACCTTACCTTAAGTGATATGATCCCACAGCCTTTTGTGACTATCACTATGGGATCACTAGTTACTTTATTAAAAATTGTACTACCTTGAAACACAAAGTGCAATTACTGATCAAGGATGGAATGATTAGTTTTGATACAGGAGGGGTAACTTTACCAAATGTTAGTGGTAATCATTTGCCTAATCATAATGTGAATGCCCTGAGTAATGAACATAAATGCTATCTGAAAAGAAAAGTGACAGATATTAAGACACCTCTTAGTCAGCTGTTTGATATTTTATGAAAAGTTGATATGATACAACCAGTGAGTTTGCACAGCTATCATTGATTCGAGAACGCTATAAACAGTTAAATTTCACAGAAGAAAAGAGAGTTGGTGACATAGACAACTTCTAGCAATCTTTCTATAAATAATTTTTTAAAACAATTATTTTACTGTAAATAATATTCATTTCACATAGACAGTATATGACTTACAATTATTATATTATAATTACTTAATCATAATTTAAAATTATATGAGGTTTACACAAATTTTATATAGGACCTTTATAAATTTATACATAATTATTTATTGTAATTGAATAATTGTAAGAATATAATAAAAAAATTATATATGCAATGCATTCTTTACATATTTTCGCAATTATATATATATATAGAAGGAAAATGTAAGAAGAATATATTTACATATATCAATGGCCATATTTAAATTAATGCATTGTTTTTTAATTGAAAAATAACAATGTATTAAATTATTTACGATTCTTTGTAATGGGTATGTTTAATTGAATAGGGTTTCTTTTAATTAATAAATAAATTATTGAATGATAATAAAACAATCACATACTAAAAATGAAAAGTGGACTTTCTCTTTTGAGAATGGTAAATTAGTCAATATTTAAAAACAACGCAAAACGGCCCCTCTCTTTTATTTTTTATTTTTTTAATTTTTTCAAACAAGAAATGCAAAGCTCAAATTTTGATTTACCTGAGATCGAGTGTTTTAATTAGCCCAATATTTTACTTTAGATGATGCCTATACAATTCTTTAAAATAAAAGTTAAAATGCTAAATAGAAAAATGAAGATGCAGGACCAATATTTAGATGATTGTTGGAATAACCGGGTCGTTGATATTGAGTAGTACAAAAAGCCAATGGGTTAAAGGACATTTGGCATGTAACACAGTTACAAAACAAAACTGTCCGTCCCACGCGTACGAGTATAATAGGGGGAAGAGCTGCTAAAAAATATATATATGTGTGTGGGCATATGATAATATAATTTAGTTAAGTTTTTGGTACTGATAACATTATATTTTAATTTATTAGCTAAATGGCGTAAGAAAAGTAATAACTTAAACGTTCATTGTCATTAAAAAATGAAATAAGGAAAAGAATTTAGAAACCGGTAAACTCCACAAGTAATTAGTAAACAGTAAATAAATTTTAAAAAGTAAAAAAGCTAAAACTCATCCTGTTAACAGAAATACGGGTATAGCAACCGTTTTATTATTTTATTTATACTTACCCCTCTAGGAGAAAGACTAGTGCAGCTGATTTAGTATTTTCAAGAAGGTCACGAGCGTCCTCCTCATTTCAGCGTTTCTTCGTCTCTGGTAATTTCTCATCTTCTCCATTTTCATTTCTCTCTGTACCCGTTTGCAAGAGTTTATGTTTTCATTACTCTTTCTGTTTCTATGTGCAAGAGTTTATGGTGAGGTGAAATTTTTTTGGACAGCTATACTTTATGTAACAGAAGAATTTCTAGGGTTTTCTTTGATGAGATTGATGGAGAAGTTCATTATTTGGGTTTTGGTACGTAGAAGCTTAATCAGGTGGAATCTTAGTGGTTTAAAGGGAATGGTTCGTATTTACTTGCAAAGTTTCTTAATGCTATCCTTCTGTTATTTGGTGAAGTTTGAAAAGCTTGTTTGGTTTTTAGGACTTGGCCAATTTATTGAATATCTTTTGGCTGGTTTATTAAAATGAAGATGGCTTTCTGATGGTGAGACTGTTCTTTGGTCCTCATGAATAGCTAGAAATGAATTGGTTTTCGAAAGGGGAAAATGGGAAGTGGATGAGGTGTTCTTTCTTATTAAATCGAGAGCTTATTTGACGTGGGTTAAAGCTATAGAGGGTGAATTGAGTTTGGTTGAGCTTGGGTGGAGTATGGTGGGTATCGTCAGTGTACATAAGCCAAGAGTAGGGGTTTATTGATCGCATCCGGTGGGGTTTGGACAGTGCCGATTTGTTTGTGGATTGGCGAGTAGCATATCGTTAATGGTTTTATGTTTATGACTTGTGTATTGATAGACCTTTATGTTTCTGGAAATGCTTTCATTAATAAAATCAGATTGAGGGAAAAAAAAAAAAAAAAACTTTGTGTTTTTGATGGTTTTGTATATTGGAGGATTTCTTTTGAATAACTATCATATTGTAATGGAACCATCTATGTGCATTTTATTATTGCCAGTGATGTGGCTTGCTCTATCTGCTTTTGCATATTAATGAAATTTATTTGACTTAAAAGAAAAATTATAATGTGAAAATGAAAACGTAGAAGGGAGAAAAAATTACTAAAACTCACCTGCATCTTAGAATCTTGATTTTTTTTTTCTGTTTTGCTCCTTTATCTTTTTTTTTTTTTTTTTTACTCATTTCCTGGGTTCAATTTTGTAGATCATGCCGTTAGATATAGAAAAGGCAGAACCGATTCTCATTCCTAATGGTTATCCGGTACACGTGGATTGGAGGAAGAAAAGGATACTGCACTTGAGAAATCAAGGAAAAATGCGTAAGTTCAAATTTGCAATTATTTTTTTATTTTACATAATTCAATACGTTTTTATATTTGCATATATGATAGTATTTTTTTTTTAACAGAATCTTGTTGGGCCATGACAACAGTTTCTCTATTAGAATCTGTTTGGTCCCTCAAATTTAACAAGGCTCCGTCTCTTCTATCACCACAAATGTTAGTAGATTGTATTCAAGAAAATTCAGACGAACTTGAAGGTAGACGAGACTGCTATAAGTATAGTGTTGTAAAAGCACTTGAATGGTTGAAGAAAAATGAGGTTTATGGGGAAATTGATTATCCCTACGTGAAAAGTTGGGGAAAATGTCGTGCTAGCTCCATTACCGTAAGCATCAATGTGTTTTTGTTTTTATTCAAAACAAATATATGAATTGTAATATTGTATCAACGTTTTTTTTTATTGTTTTTTTCAGCCAACTGTGCGTGTGAAGATCGAGAATTACCGTACTATAGTTGGTGAGGATAGGAGCCAGATTCTCATGAAAGTTGCACGTCGACCCGTTGCTGTCGTGATTGAAGCATATCAGGAATTTATATATCTAAAAGATGTAAGTAATTTTAGATTGTTTTATATTTTTCAAATGCTTTTAAATAATTAGATTTACATTTTTTTTAACATCACTACATGATTGTCTCTAATTTTTCTTGTTGTTGTTTCTTACCATGGAAGGAAATCTATGAAGGTCCAGAAAAGGAAACTGACGAGCCACCTCCTTTGCATGCAATCATTATTGTTGGTTATGGTACAGAGGGACAGGGTGCGGATGCAAAAAATTATTGGTTGGTTATGAATTCTTGGGGATCTGATTGGGGAGTAGAGGGATTTGGACGGGTTTGCAGAGATACTACGGTAGATGAAAAGTTTTTGCTTACACGAATCGCTTATCCTATATTTGATGAGGAGAAAAACCAGAAATGAACCATATGTTTGAGACTTAATATCCTTTGTTATTAGTGTTATTGAGATTTTATATTACACATTACAGTTGCTTAGTTTGATATTACAAAAGAGTTATATGGGCTTAATATTTTATAATATCAACTTTTTGATCATTTTATTCTAGTTTTTATTGCGAAAATAACAATCATTTCAGCTGTGAATTAATTAAATTTTCGTATAAATTCAAAACTTTCTACACCATGATTATAGGTAATTGAGATTATATTTAATATTGTAAATAACACTGTATAATTGTTGATTTTTTGATAAAATTGGAAAGGAAAACAAATTGGACATAGTAAGAGCTTTTATTTCAATACTGATATAGATAATATATATATATATATATATAATAAATTAAAATTTGGCACATTCATTATGATAAGCATGTTGTTCTTTTTTCTTTTTTTTTTTAAAGAATAATTTTAAAAAGTTATGTAGCTAGTTTTTCTATATAAAAAAAAGTTTCTGTAACTTCTCAATTTTTTTTTTAAAATTTGAAAAGACATAAATTTTTTTTATTTTATATTTTTTTATATTTGATTTTTATGTAAATAAGCAAGTCTATGTCTCGCTTATCTAACGCACGTATAGTTTCAACTTGTTTCTTTTTTTTTACATATGGATATTATAATATCAGTTTCATTTTTGTCACGTTTAGATTTTTTAATTGCTATGTCAGTTATTTTATATGTCATCAAAGTTTACTTAATAATATTTAATTTCACATTAACTTATATTTTAATTATTCATGAATTTAGAAATTTAAAAATTTCTATATTCTTAAACTCAATTAATTATAGATAAATGTGCTTTATATTCTGTGTCATTTAAAGTTAAATTTATTCATATTTACTATTAATTAATTATGAATCAAATTTAATTATTTATAAATTTAATTAATTAAAAATAAATATACTTAACTTTAATACAATTTAAATTAATATCTTTATTAATAATATAAATATATAAAATCAAATCATGCTAATCATTATTTACTTCACTCAATAACACAAATTACATTGCCTATAAATTATTCCCTACAGAAACGCTAAAGAATAAAAGTAAACTATAACCGGCAGCAATGGATGTGAGACTAGTTTTTTTTTTGTTAGTTTCATTACTTTTTTCCTTTCACTCACCTAATAAGTGCGTCAAAACTTAATTTCTTTCATGTCGAAAAATCAATGAATTTGTTAGAGAAAACAGAAAATACTTGCCCGACAAGAAAAGGAAAATAAAATAAAATGAACGAACACGTGATGTGATGACAATGACGGTTCGATCGTTAAGAAAATGGTGGGACCGGGTCCATTCCTACGCGGACGGTTAAGATCTAATCTCGAAATTGTACGCACATCAGGTGCTACTTATTATCCCTCCCTCAGACTCGGTTATTTTAGGGTTAGGATTCCGTCTCATTCGTGATCTAACCAACTTCTGCAATTCTCATGGCTTCCGTTCCACCTCTCCCCATGGAGGAGCAACCACCAACTACGGAGGAGCGACCATCAAGTGAGAAGAAACAGGAACAAGAACACGATTATTTTCTGTCTCATTTTGACGAAGATACCGATGAGGAAGAAAGCAGCCAGTCCGGTACTTGCGAAGCCGAGGAATTTCGTGAGATGACGGATGCGGAGCAAAAAGCCTTTTCAGCTGCTTTCAAAGAGAGTGGTGTAAGCCTATTTCTGCAAAATTTAAGTTTCATATACATATATTCTATATTTATTAAGTTTACCTTGTAGGGATTTGATGTTCCTCCTTTTCCTGGGGTTTATTACAACGACCTAATTACGCCCATGAATATGAGTAAAGGTGGGCCGGAATATCTATTCCGTTATTCCGTGGCAGGGATCGGCCGATATAATGAAGAACATGTTGGTTTGGTTTTTTTTTTTTTTTCTTGTTTTCTTTATCTTTTTTCCGGTGATATAATTTTGACTGATATTTTTAATGTTTTCAGGGAACCAACTATGAGGTAGTCCGAGTGGAAAAGTGCATGCAACAGGCTGCTCGCGGTATTAAGTACTACATAACCTTCCATGCCAAGAATAAGATTGCTTCAGAGCATGGCAGTGATACTCCTAAAGCTGCTGATGATAGTAGCGATAAAACTGAAATCTTTGAGGCTTTGGTCTTGTTCGGTATTCCAAAGGACAAAAAGGATGAACCAATCGATGTGATCTTTTGTAGGCTAAAGGGTACCAGGCCAGGTACTAATGTTTTTCATTAATGCAATTACTTTTAAAAAAAAAAAAAAAATCCGTACTTGGTTATTGATGAATTATCACTTTTATATTCTACTTGAATATCCGATTGTTAGCATACATTACACTAGTTTAAGGGATATGTTTGGTGATCCTTATCTACAAGGAATACTCCGTAAATTTAAACCCAGTTGTGCACTTCATCTGTTTTGTGATGAACAGATATATCATTTGCATTTACTGGCTTAATTATAGATATGTCGTGAATAGCAACTACTTACTATGATGAAGGATTTGTGAACTTTTTAACGAATGACTTAATTGTGATTGCCATATACAGTGTGTTGTGTTTTCATGTTGGGGAGTTTGTTGGTCTGCAGTTGAGAATTGCTTGTGTGTTGTTTGATATTTTGCATGACTGTCATGTTTTGTTTATTGGGTTACCTTTACTTAAGGTTTTGGATATCTAGTTATCTAGGGTAAGTGCTGGCTTTTGATGAGCTTAATGAATGGCTACCCATTTTTAGCTAGAGGTTTTACCGCTGTAGAGTAGTAGTAATATAAAGGCAAGGTTTAGGACTTCTTTATGATCTTGGTGGAACGACAGAGACTAACCCTATATTTAGTTTTAGATAAGGAAGTAAAATGCAAGTTCAGGTGAGTGTGTTCTATTGGTCAGAAAATTTTTTATTTTAGGGTGCTGCCCATGTTCACATATATATACAATCACAATTAATTTAATTTATTGGTTGTGTTGATGTAGATCTTTGAAAATTTTGTGGAGGCGTTCAGCTGGTGGGTGAGAAGAGCACCAGAAGTTGAGCACGTCATCTTGTTAATGCTTCTTATTTTATAATTTGAACCTCTATCTAGAATGTTTATGTGTTAAGCGATCTAAACTCATCCGACGCTTTCGCTTACCGACTACAGTACTGTTGATTATATAACTTTGTGCTGCTTCTATGTTTAATGATTTAGCTATGAAAACCACATTATCCTAATTTCTTATACTCAGCTTTAGGTGAGTTAGGGAACTTTTATTCTGCTGTCACAGTGTTCATGGCCCATTTTCGCCCCAAAAGCTCTCGACGAGCTGTATACGAAATTAACATCTATATATCTAGTAGAATGAAATTTACGTCTGTATTATATCTAGTTATCTGTACAATGGATCATATAAGTGAGAGAACCGTTTTGCTACTGAGTCAGCGCCAGCACCATTGGTTTATACAAGACTTAAAGCTTTTTTCTGGTTTAAGCATCTTCTGCATGAATTGCTGTTCTGTTTCCTGGACCATAAAATGTCCTTTGGCTGGGCCTGGGATGATCAAGTTGAACCTCCTTTGAGCCTAGGCCTAGAAGATTTAGCGCAAATCAGCCTATAAAATGTATAAATCAGACAAAAAAAAAATCATTTAGTCACCAATTCAGTGAGAATATAAAAGTAAACAAATAAAATCAAGCGTAACTAAGTTGTTTGAAGTTTGAAATCGGTTCTCATTGTCATGGATTTGATTCTTCACCAACATTTAAAGATTTTGCATGTATTGTCTGATTTAGTTTCTGTTGGTTAATTAAGTTTGATCGATAATGCAAAATCTTAGGGGAGGAGAATGCCACGTGTGCATTCAAGAAATCAGGACACACCATATGTACAAAACCCAATCCAAATTTCAAGCCAAAATTACAAATGCTGGCAATTACTGTTATTCATGCACACTGGATCCATTTGCCAAATATTTTATCTGGAATTTGCCCCGTTAAAACCACTCATGTGAAATGTGGTTGTCTGTTGATCCTTACGGTTGGGCATTTGCGCATTGTCAAGTCCACACATTAATATAAAAATTTTAATTAACAATGTAAATTGGTTCGGTTTGATTTCTGATTTGGTTTCTTATTTAATAATGTAAATTAAAACATGAAAAAAAATCACTCTCTAAACTTTAATTAAAGAATGAATCTCACCCATTTAACCTCATAAATTATGGGTTGAGACAGCAAAAAATCAAGTATGAATAAATAAAAATGACTATGAAATTGAACCAATACACAAAATGAGGCAGAAAAGAAAAAAAAGAACATATATATACACACAACAAAAAAATATACAAAATGAAAAATCTTAGAAAAAAAGAAAAAAAAAAAATATATATATATATATATATACACAACAAAAAAATATACAAAATGAAAAATCTTAAGGAATGAGCTGTCACGTGTTGATTTTTGAGAAAAAATTGATAGAGTTAGAATTTTAGCATATAATTAACTTTTCAAATGAAATCTTAAAATGAAGAGAATTATATATTTTTAAAATATAAACTTATATAGAAAAAAAACTTGTACAAATAAAATAATTAAATATTTACATAATATAAATATAACTATCATTAATTTTGCAGTTTTCAAAAATAAATCAATCCAAATCAAGTTAATCAATTTTTATTGCAGTCCAAGAATTAAAAAAAAATTATAAGTGTTAAAATTTAAATATAAATTATTATTTTTTAAAAATAATTATATAAAATAAGTAAAATAAACTTCTGGTTCATCAATATTTGATTTTAACCAAATAACGTTCAATGTTACATTTAAATGATAGGTGATAAGTTAAAATAAAATGAAGTAGCTAATTCTTATCATATAAACTAATTAAAAAAAGTGAAACATCATAATTATTTTCCTTTGATAGAAAAGGGTGAAGATTAAGCATATAGTAGTTTTTAGATTAACAAAAATGACCAAAAAAAGTTTGGCATCAATTTGGTCATGGAATGTGATAGATCATATAATCCTACATATATATTATTTTTAATTTTATGAATCAACATTTTTATGTGGTGGTGGTTATAAAAAATGCGAGGAAATTGAAAAAGAAAAAACAAACTTGACCAACAAGAAGTCTAAACAAAATCTGTTGTGGACATACATTTGTGATTGTTACCCATTGCCATGGCCTTTTGCTTTGTACTTTGATTATTATTCAAATTTGAAATTGTAATTTCTGTATATTATCTTATGTTGCATCATGATCAACATACACTTGATTATTATTGATAAAGGATACTGCACTTGAGAAATCAAGGAAAAATGCGTAAGTTCAAATTTGCAATTATTTTTTTTATTTTACATAATTCAATACATTTTTATATTTGCATATATGATAGTATTTTTTTTTTTAACAGAATCTTGTTGGGCCATGACAACAGTTTCTCTATTAGAATCTGTTTGGTCCCTCAAATTTAACAAGGCTCCGTCTCTTCTATCACCACAAATGTTAGTAGATTGTATTCAAGAAAATTCAGACGAACTTGAAGGTAGACGAGACTGCTATCAGCATAGTGTTGTAAAAGCACTTGAATGGTTGAAGAAAAATGAGGTTTATGGGGAAATTGATTATCTCTACGTGAAAAGTTAGGGAAAATGTCGTGCTAGCTCCATTACCGTAAGCATCACATGTGTTTTTGTTTTTATTCAAACAAATATATGAATTGTAATATTGTATCAACGTTTTTTTTATTGTTTTTTCAGCCAACTGTGCGTGTGAAGATCGAGAATTACCGTACTATAGTTGGTGAGGATAAGAGTAAGATTCTCATGAAAAGTTGCACGTCGACACGTTGCTGCCGTGACTGAGCATATCAGGAATTTATATATCTAAAATATGTAAGTAATTTTAGATTGTTTTATATTTGTCAAATGCTTTTAAATAATTAGATTTACATTTTTTAACATCACTACATGATTGTCTCTAATTTTTCTTTTTGTTATTTCTTACCATGGAAGGAAATCTATGAAGGTCCAGAAAAGGAAACTGACGAGCCACCTCCTTTGCATGCAATCCTTATTGTTGGTTATGGTACAGAGGGACAGGGTGCGGATGCAAAAAATTATTGGTTGGTTATTAGGGTTTACTAGTATGCTACACAAATATTATATTACTATGGTAATTATACAGTTTATCTAATCTAATGGTTGAGTTTGAAAACTATCCAAATTATGAATATATATATATATATATATATGTCTTTTTACCAATTAATTCTTCTGGTTTGTGAATCTAAAGCTTGGTTCAAAAAGCAATGATCATGTACACATCATGTTGTATGGTTTATATATTAATATAAAATACCAATCGATAAAACCATCGCTCATTCCACATTTGCAAAATAGGAAAGCTGTTACTGTTTTCGTTACATGATTGTTTCATTATCATTCAATAATTTATTATTAATTAAAGAAACCCTATTCAATTAAACTTACCCATTTTAAGAATCATTTTATTAATTTAATACATTGTTTTTTTTCAATTAAACAACATCCATTAATTATGCTTTTTAATTTAAATATCACCATTAACATATTAATACATTGTTCTTTTTCAATTAAAAAACAATACATTAATTATACTTTTTATTTAAATATCATTGTTTGACATATGTAAATATCATGCTTCTTCTATTTTTCTCACACACATATATATTATTTATTGAAGAATTAGTATTGCGAAAACATGTAATGGATGCATTTCACTTATAAATTTTTTATTATACTTTTACAATTATCTAATCACAATAAATAATTACGTTTAAATTCATCACTTATAAATAAAGATTCTATATAAAGTTTTTTTTAAACCCCATATAATTTTAAATTATGATTAAGTAATTATAATATAAATATTGTAAGTTATATGCTCATCTATGTGATATGAATATTATTTTATAGTAAAATATTTTTTAAAAATATATATTAATAGAAAAATTGCTAGAAGTTGGACTGCGTGATGAAAAATTGCTAGAAGTCAGGATTTCGTAAGGGTTTGGCTCGACTCATGAGGATAGACAAAGAAGTTGTGGATTCTCATACAAAGTAAAAAACAAGAACAGGTTTGCTTACCTTGAAAGTTCTTTCATGAGTTTCTAGTGCAACATGCCAACGAAGAACGTGGGTTAGATGTATTCATCTTAGCTATATACGAAATGGTGATATTTCTAAAAGTTTTGGGTTTTATTGAAATAGCGGTGGTTGACTTCTTCGAGAGTGTGATCAATGGTTGTAACCCTTCAATGGTAATATTAGCAGAGACTATCAGATCTTTGAGTTACTGTCGTCGGAATGGAGGGTGTTTTATAGGCTGTATACAATTATTATACTTATGGATGAAAAGTCACTTCGAATGGAGAAAATGTGCTTTCTCGAAGCTTTATGTCCACAATCAAACTTCGATCAAGGAATTCTGTGAAAGTGAGTGGTCAGAACAAAAGTCTAAAAAGAAGTGGATAGCTTTCCTACAAAAATTGACTAGTGCCAAAGTAAGATGGTTGGTTCCGTGGATGAATCGTGAACTTATGTTGTATCAATGTGGAGATAATATTGTGGTCTCACTTTTGGGTTTATGAGGAACAACAAGTTATGCACCACTCCTAGTGAGAAGGCAGTTTGGGGCAGAATAGTTCATTCTTATGACGCATGGATTCATCAGTTAAATTTCTCTTACAATGAGTCAAAAGCATTTCAGAGGATGAATGAGATGATTAAAGTGTGGAAAAACTCCTGAAGAGTGAGTCTTAGATCGTTCACTGATAAAGTCATTCTAGGGTATTTACTTTGGAGAGCAAGACGAAGACAGGAAATGATATTCACTTATGAAAGCTTTCAACCGCCAATAGGAGGAAAGCTTGAAGAGACACCATCAGAATTAGAGCTTGTGATAAAAGAATTTAAGTTTGAAAGGATAAGTTAAAGCAAAAAATCCAGAAGCTTCGAGAAGAAAAAGATTAGTGGAAAGATAGAGCTGAAAGACATGAAGCCAGAGTTTGCAAGATTGCTAGAGAATGTGATACAGCTGTTGAAAACCTAGCAGAGCTACACCAAGAACATAAAAGGTTATGTGTGAGAGAAAGGGCCAAAGAGATAACAATTGTTAAGCTGACTGAAGAGAATGCAAGATTGAAACAGGAATATGCTGAATTGAAAGAAGAAAGTACCCAAGTACAGATAAAGAATAACATGTTGAATAGCTACCTAAGCAGGTTGAGATAAAAGTTGAATGAACAAGAAGATCATATTGCTGCATTGGTTAGAGAGCATAGAGAGTTATCATACCAAGTCTGGTATGATAAAATAGATAACTTAAGAAGATAGAAGTACA